GGGGGGGGGGGCTGAGAGGAGCTACAGATGACTGTGCATTACATCAAACGAGAGAGGTGTGGTAAATACATGACTATGTGATGTGCAGAGGAGGAACACTCCGGTAAATGTGGCGGGCAAAAGGACAGAGCCAGAGAGCGGGAAATCATCCTCCGAGCCGAGAGGCTTCTCACAACCCCGCGTGGATGTCCAGCAATTAAGAGCGGAGCACGGCCTCCGACATTGGCTGGCTGAAATTCAGGAGAAGATGAGGCTAAAAAAACGACTGCAGCGATCATAATTCGTCCCGCTGCGAAATGTCTGCATGTCAGGCCTGCTTTTTCAACCTGCGCGCCAACATTGTCAACATGCAGAACCAACAGGTTTGTTTGTTATGTGCAGCTCGTCTGGATAAGTGCCAATTAGCAGGTTGTGCACACAGAGATGCAGCACAAATGCTTTTTTAAGAGCAATGGGCGCAGAGTCATGGACCAACACCACTCCACGGTGGGGGGGGGGAAATAAATCATTTGTTGCCCGTTTTTGTTTCTTTTTGGGCAGCAAACAAACAACAGAGCAGTATTTGTGAGTGTGTGTTTTTTATGTAGTCTGCCTGCGACCCAATTTCACCTGATTTGGGGGGGGGGGGGGGGGGGGGGGGTTGCATGTGCTTTTGCAATGGTCTGGGATGTGTCGGGAATACTTGAATTATTTAAACTGTTGGGTTTGATTTCAGAGAGACATCATTGCTCATATGTTAACACACAACATAGCATGCATGGTCACAGGCAGAGAGGAGGGGTGAGGGAGAGAGTGACGGGCGGAAACACACACACATACGCACACCACACACACACACACACAGAGAAAGAGATTTCTCAAGAAGGGATTATGTGTTTTTTTAATGAGGCGGGCTTATGCTTCCTCAGCCAAACACACAACATTGAGTTTGAGTCATTAGGAGAAACATATTAAGTAAAAAGACGCATGGCCACATGGAAATGTTTTTTTTTCTGTTAAACTTATCAATACAGCCACACAAACGGGGTACTGGCATTCATTATATTTCATTAGCATGTCTGTGTGTATGTGTCTGTGTGTGTGTGTGTGTGTG